TCTTTCACAGACTAGACTCCTTCCTGGTCTGGGCCCAATCCTTTCCCTTGTACAGTCTTTGTTAGATCCAGCAGACATCTCAGATGGTAAGCAGGGGTTTTCTCATGACTGGTAGCCCCGTTTGTCCGCTCCACCCCCTTTTATAGCTTTAGCACAAGGTGGGAATCTTTTGTATGTGCTTGTCCCAACCCTCACCTCATCAATGGAAAAGTACAGGGATTAAGATGGATTCCAGTATCACATGACATGGTCATGTCACTGTAAGACCCCTAGTCTCCATTCTTCCTGGGTTGGCCCACATGTACACAGGAAGGTTTGCAGGTAAATAAACCATTTACAACCAATTGTCCTAGTCAATGGGAGCCATCAAGATTCTAGATCACCATTAATGGCCCACACTTTGCATAATTACAATAGGACCTCAGAGTTATACTTCATATTTTTAGCTTCAGATACAAAAATGATACTGAATATATTCCTCCTGTTTGCATGCATGTAAGTTATAACCTTTTTATGATACCTTACAAGAGACCTTTTGCATAAAGCATATTCCAGTTACATCATATTCACACTCATAAGCATATATCCATAAAACATAGGGAGTGCAACGTCACAACCATTACTGCCAAACATTTTGTGAAAACATGGTGTCAATGCTACTCCAAAAAGCTAAACATTAGTAATGCTTTTCCTTTACAACAAAAGAGAAACTTCAGGTGCTTGTAAGGTATCCCTATGTTCACATTATCACAATACCTAAGTTCTGTCCTTGACTCCGTGGGTCCAGCGTTTCCTGACGGATTTTTGCTAGCCTCAGAGGCTCACTGTGACCCTCCACATAGCCCTTCTCTCTCTAGAGGCAAGGTCACAGTTTACTGAGCCATTTTCATCGTAAGCCAGCAAGGGAGGTGAGGAGAAACAACCCTCCCTCACACAGTCTCTGTTGTCTCCCAGTATCAGTGATTAATCAGGGAGGGGAGGGGGAAGCCCGGGCCCGCCCTCTACTCCGGGCTCCAGCCCAGGGACCCTAAACTTAGCAGCTATGAAAGCTGACTTTTTGGAAATAGGGCGTGTACAATTCCCTGGGCTACTTCCCCACAGCAGCCCCCACTCAATATCTTCTTCACAATTACCTCAGGGCCTCCTTCCTTGCACCTGATATGGATTCGTACTACTTCGGTCCTCCAACAGCACAGCTCCCTCCTATAGCTCCTGACACCCATACCGCACTAACTGGGAGGCTTTTAACTAGTTCCAGACAGTCCTTGATTGGCTTCAGGTGTCCCAATCAATCAATCTAGCTGTCTCTCCTGCCTTCTAGAAGGATCTTAATTGGCCCCAGGTGTCTTGATTAACCTGGAGCAACTGCCATTTGGTTACCATGGTACCAGGGATTTGTTTAGCCTGGGGCTAACATACCTGTTCCTCACTACTTTACTGTAGCCATCTGGCCTTGCCCCATCACAGTATCCATAATGTCCAGATCTCATAGCCAGTTGTCTTTCTCTAGAAATGGTATAATTGTTCCTAAGATGACCATGTTGCATTTTTCCTTTACCTAATACTGGTTTAGGTTCTCAAGAATCGGAGTGGGCTGGAGCTCTCGTGTCTTTTTGACCATCAGATAATTATCTGTTATCAAAACTCTTTCCTCTTTAGCACGTTGACATAGGCTTGATGGCTCTCTTTCCAAGAAGAAATGGATATCCTGGAGTATTTATTTCTTAAAATAAGGTGCCCAAGAGCACTTATGAGGTGGGAGTAGGGACAGGCAATCTAGAGGATTTTCTGAAAACCTGATCTTGTCACCCTACCAATCAATACTCATCTGTTTGAAGTAACCAAAGGCTATCAGAGATAGCTCACAGTCTGCCTCTGACAGGGAGGTCCTGGCAGGGATTAAAAGGAATCAGTTGGCTATATGCTCTGGAATCTTTCAAAAAAGCCTTTGCGTTTTAGAATTTGCTGAAAGGACCCATAGAATCCTCCGAGAACTCCTTTTAAAAGGCTGCTTACTTGGATATTATGCAGAGATCAGGATTTGGCCCTTAATTTGCCTTTTTCCTTTAAAAAAAACATGACTGAGATGGCATAGAGTGCAGTTTTCTGTTATGTGTGTATGTGTAGAAAGCTGCTGTGAAGATAACTGCATTATATCAGTATTTGATAAACCATTTTAATATCAAAATATGTATTTTTCATAAAATCTGATCACATCAAAAATAACATTTTAATTCTCTACATTTCCAAGCAACCATTACCTCTTTGTCTTATCAGAGTCAACTTCAGCAGAAGAACAGAACCAATTTTATTCTGCAAATAATATTGTCCTTCCACCTATGCTGTGAAGTAATACCAGACCTCAAAAGTCTTTAACCTATTTCCCCTGTTTCTTCAGACTCAGTTGTCCATTTACAGCATATACTGGCTACCACTGGCTGACAAAGGCATAAGTGAAATAGTTCATGGGTATTCTACCACAATGCAAAACACTGGAAGGACAGCAGAATTTTTCAGACAAGAGAAATGTAATTCAATGTTGGATTATATCTACTTATTTATTCTCTTTTTGGGATTGCAGCACAATGCTGAACCAAACAAAATGTGAACTGAAAACATATATATTTAGACCAGGATACTGCTACTCTTACTCATGTTAAGTAGTAATTTACTACATATGTAGTCCCACTGATTTCAGTGAGACTATTTGCAAATAAGTTAACTATTCAGTGTGAATAAGCGCAGCAGAATCAGAGTCTAAAAAACTGAATTCTATAGGAACTAATAAATTATTGCATAAAATATATGACACAAACAATAAAAGGACATAAACATACATGCCTGTTTGAAAAGTAAATAGATTTTGCAGAGCTACCATCACATTAGCTACTGAGCAGGAATACAGTAATTTAAATGCAACACTGATAGAGAAGTATTATGTAACTCCATTCCATTAATTGAGATTCTCCATTCCATTTTATCAGCTTTATGCCAGTGCAACTCCATTTCAGGAGTTGTACTAATGTGAAACTGGTGTAACAAACAAGAGAATCAGGCTGTGCACGTCTAAATACAGTGGAAGGATAAATGGTAGAGACATTCAAATACTCAAAGGCAGTTTTAAAAAAATTTCTTATTTTTACTTGGAAAGGGTAAGACTTACCAACAGACAGTACAGATGCCTGGTTAATATAAAGGCGGTTGATACTTTCTAAATCACATATCTTCCCAAATAGAAGAGAACTAAGCAGGCTGCTTATTCCAATTCCTACCATAATGTATGATGCATCATCCAAAGAAATGCCCAAGTCACCTGCAAGTTTCATCTGTAAATAGAATATCAATTCAATGTATCTATCACAAATGATACAGTGCACATTTGTTAGCTTGTGCAAGTTTAGAGTTTGGCCATTATTTCGAACAATTTGAATTAAAACTCTGCTTAGAAGGAGGTTGTCAAAATACTGCATGTTTCATAGTTTTTAAAATATTTTTTGTCCTCATTGTTTAAACCTCTTGGAAGCTTGAAATTTAACTGTTCTCTTGCTAGCTGTTTTATTTTTTTATTTCATGAGCACACAGGTAAGCTTACCCATGACATAATGTTTGATTTCACTCCAGTTCTGAGAGAGGACTGGCATAATATTTAACATTTATCTAGTGCCTTTCATCCCAAATAATCCCTAAATGTTTCCGATGCTGCAATTTATGTTGAGAAGGGTAGCAACCACCTGGTGTACAGCAGTGGGAGGAGAGAGGTCTAGCTAATGACATCAGAGATTAACCCTTCCTCTTATGAAGAATGTGATGCTCTTATTTGCCCCACAATGTCCACCACTTAGATTATTCCTATATGGGGGGAAGTGGAAAATCACAACTGTTCCTTGACAACCTGTCAAGGGGCAGGGTTTCCACCACTGCTCCACCTGGAAGAGTCTAGAAGTTCTACTCCCTAAACTGCAGATCTCAGGTGATCTGCTTGAGATAAGAGGCTTCCATATGGAGAACCCAAGCCTCTGCAGTGCTCTTTAGCCCACCAAACCAATTACAGGACATGCTGCTCAGTGCTCCTCAGCCATGGATGGATTTTTATGGCACTGAGAGGTAGAAGCTGCACAAGTTACTGTTGTGATCAATGAGGCCTTGATCTCAGTTGAGGCCTGTAGGTGCTACTATAATACAAACAATAATAAATAATAATAATGAGTCTAATATTTTCTTCTGAGGTGGAGAGGAAAGGCCTCTGTAAAAACGCTTTAAGACAAGACTCCAGACAAGGGGAAGCAGACTAGAGAACACAACATTGGGGCCATTTATATGGTGCTCCCTGTCCCTTAAGTCAGCGGCTCTCAAAGCCGGTCCACCGCTTGTTCAGGGAAAGCCCCTGGCGGGCCAGGCCGGTTTGTTTACCTGCCACACCTGCAGGTTCGGCCGATCGTGGCTCCCACTGGCTGCAGTTCATAGAATCATAGAATATCAGGGTTGGAAGGG